CTCAGTGGTTCTTTTCCTCAATCACTTGTGAATCTCACAAATCTTTTTACCCTTGACATTTCATCAAATAACATCACTATTGATGAGGGAATGAATATCACCTTTCTTAGCCTACCATCTTTATTCTTATCATCTTTGTGAACTGAAGGATTTTCCACACTTCTTGAGAAATGTAACGACACTTCAGTACTTGGGCATTTCTAACAATAAGATATGTGGTCAAATCCCTAACTGGTTTAGCGGCATGAGGTGGGACTCGTTGCAGTTCCTAAACCTTTCTCATAATTCATTAACAGGCCACCTACCACAATTTCATTTCCATAGTCTAGAGTATCTTGATCTGAAATTTAACTCCCTTCAGGGTCCACTACCTTCATCCATTTGTAACATGAGGAAACTTACCTTATTAGATTTATCACGCAACCACTTCAGTAACTCGATTCCAAGTTGCTTGGGAAGCATGTCTAGTCTAACAGTGTTGGACTTAAGAAGGAACAATTTCACTGGGAGTCTTCCATCGTTATGTGCGCAGAGCACTTCATTGAGTACCATTGTCATAAATGGTAATCGATTTGAAGGATCTGTCCCTGTGTCGTTGCTCAAATGCCATAGTTTAGAAGTCCTTGATGTGGGGAACAACGCTATAAATGACACGTTTCCAGCATGGCTAGGAACTCTTCAAGTGCTACAGGTCCTTATATTAAAGTCGAACAAGTTCCATGGACCTATAAGTACCTATCAGACTATGTTTTGCTTTCCCAAGTTGCGAATTTTCGATCTTTCTAGTAATGAATTCAGTGGCTCACTTCCAGCAAAATTTTTTAGAAACTTCAAGGCAATGATCAAATTAGATGGCGAAGAAACAGGAGAGATCAAGTACATGAAACCATCTGAGAAGTCATACATGTCGTATGAGGATTCAGTGAGTTTGGTAATCAAAGGGCAGGATATTGAGCTACAAAGAATCAGCACAATTACGACAACCATAGATCTCTCAAGCAACCATTTTGAAGGTGTCATTCCGGAAACACTAAAGGATCTCAGCTCACTTTGGCTACTCAATTTATCCCATAACAATCTCATAGGTCATATTCCAATGGAATTGGGGCAATTGAATACACTTGAAGCTTTAGATCTCTCCTGGAATCGGCTCACTGGAAAGATTCCACAAGAATTGACAAGAATGAACTTTCTGGCGTTCTTGAACGTCTCTCAAAATCATCTCGTCGGACCAATTCCTCACGGTCTACAATTCAACACATTTGAAAATGACTCGTATGGCGGCAACCTTGATTTATGTGGTCCTCCTTTATCAAAACAATGTGGAACGAGTGATTCATCACATGTTCCTCAACCATTGGAGTCTGAACAAGATGAAAGCGAGTCATATTTTTTTAGTGGATTTACGTGGGAATCAGTAGTCATAGGCTACAGCTGTGGACTAGTTGTTGGAACCATCATGTGGAGCCTCATGTTCAAATATCGTAAGCCAAAATGGTTTGTGGAATTTTTTGATGGACTCATGCCTCACGAAAGAACAAGGCCGAAGAAGAGAGCTCAGAGACTACGGACTTAATGGAAGATTGAGAGGGGCCAAGTTGTCTTTGTTTGATTGAACTTTTCTGGTTGTGTGTTTTAATTTTCTGTTTGTTGTGTTGTATATGTTTGATAGAAACATAATTATATGCATGTGTGTTATTTTAGTTATCAATGGTTATGTTAATCTGTTTCTTGTTTCTAAGTTGACAAAAGTGATCTACACAGCCACTCATTAGCTCAGATTTTTCAAAAAAGTTATGTATTTCTTAAAGAATCAACATCATATTTTAAAAACGCGGGGTTCCACATATATTAGCTTAGGTACAAATAACATGAAAATCAAATATATCATCATATATCATATCATATCATATATTACTAAAAGTGGGAAGAATCTAAGGCAAAAGTTAGATTAAGAAAATACCCTCAAGTATTAATTTATTTTCTTAAAATCATTTTTAAAAATTGCTTTTCATTTAATAAATAACACAATAATCTACTTTAAAGTATTTTTAATTTATGTATATGTAACAATATTAAATGGCTCAATAATTAATACTACACTTTTCTGATAAAAAATAATAATAGTATAAACATAGGTTACCAATAAAATTTAATATTTACCTATAACTCTAAATTAATTACCAACGAAGAGTAGTTTATGCAGTAAAGAATTATGATAAATGGGGATAGAGAGTCATAGGTTCATTGCATAAGGAGTCATTTTGTTCAAGATAAAGGTATCACTTTCTAAAACTTTTGAGTCACAAAGGATTTTTTTTCTGGTGTAATTAAGAAATCTATCCATTACTATTGAGTTTCTTTTTTTCTTTTCTCATGATTATTGATCTTGTGACTTGTCATTTTATGGTGATCTCTCAATAAGTTACACATCTTCTTAATAGACAGGTGAATCGTCTTACTTTAATATATGTTGTTTATGCTACTTCAATCTTTCCTTAAAATCTAAAATTGTGTGTATTTTGAAGTTTAAACTTATTGCAGTGTTAACGAAATTTATTTGTTTCTTTTTGCGAGAAAAAAAAATGGTTAAAGTTAATATCTAAATGTTATTGCAAACTATTTCAGAGAATGCAACTCCTACTAAGTGATGGAACATCCATACTTGTGGATCCCTATTTTTATCAATTCTATATATCATACAAATCTGGATAAAAGAAGGGTGTGTGTGTATGGGGAGGGGGGGGACAATTTTCCCTATTTATTTATTTTTAATATTTTACAAAAATGAATATGTCAATTACTACTCATTTATTTACTTATATTCTGTAATATAAACATTTATTTGCCTTTATTTCAATTATTCACATGAATTTTGATCATCATCTTTGCTCTCCCACTGAAGCTTCTGCTTTGCTTCAGTTCAAACAATCCTTTCAAAATATGTTCAAAGAGTACTGTAGTTATGAGTGTTATGAAGATTGTTTCCCAAAACCAAAGTCTTGGAATGAGAGTAGGGATTGCTGCAGTTGGGATGGAGTCACTTGTGACTTATTAAACGGTCATGTTATCGGGTTAGACCTTAGTTGTAGTCTGCTTCGTGGAAGTATTCATCCCAACAGTAGCCTCTTCCAACTTCATCATCTCCACACACTAAACCTTGCTTACAATTGGTTTTATCCTTCTTCGATCCCACATAACATTGGCCAATTGACAAATTTGAGGCATCTCAACCTTTCATGGTCTGACTTTAGTGGAAAAATCCCAACAGAAATCTCAAACCTTTCCAATTTGGTTTCACTTGATCTTTCTGATAGTTATGAATTACAACTTGATGAGAGAACATTTGAAACAATGCTTTACAACTTTACAAATCTGGAGTTACTAGCTCTCCCTCTTGGTGACATCTCATCACCGATACCTGTAAGTATTCATCCCAATAGCAGCCTCTTCCAGCTTCATCATCTCCACACACTAAACCTTGCTGGCAATTACTTTTATCCTTCTTCAATCCCACATAACATTGGCCGATTGAGGAATTTGAGGCATCTAAAACTCTTTGGGTTTGATGGGAAAATCCCAACAGAAATCTCATACCTTTCCAATTTGGTTTCACTTCATCTTTCTTATAATTATGGATTACAACTTGATGAGAGAACATTTGAAGTAATGCTTCACAACTTCACAAATCTGGAGCTACTTTCTCTCTCTTATGTCAACATCTCATCTCCGATCCCTGTCAATATTTCTTCCTCCTTAAGGTACGTGGATCTTGAATATACTAATCTTGAACCTTGGAGGATGCCAATTCTATGGTTCCATTCCTGATTCCATAGGCAACCTGACACAAATTACGAAGTTGATTTTATCTGATAATCATTTCACTGGCCATATTCCTTCCACAATCTCTAAATTGAAGCACCTCACAGTTTTAGATCTTTCTCACAACTCCTTTGGAGGTGAAATTCCCAATTTTTTCTCTAACCTCCAAGAACTATGTTATTTAAGTCTTTCTCATAACAGCTTCATCGGTCCATTTCCCGCTTCAATTTTAAGTTTGACACAACTTGAAACCTTAGACTTGTCGAGAAATTCCCTATCTGAGACTATTTCCTAGAAATGCAAGCATGCTTCAGAAGCTAGCCGAGCTGGATTTGTCATACAACTCACTGAATGGTACCATACCATCTTGGGTGTTTAGCCTACCTTTGCTATCTTCACTGTCGCTTCAACATAACCAATTCAGAGGACTAGCCGATGAAGTGATCAAAACAAACCCAACATTAAAAGAACTGCATTTAAGCAATAATCAACTCAGTGGTTCTTTTCCTCAATCACTTGTGAATCTCACAAACCTTGAAACCCTTGGAATTTCATCAAATAACATCACCATTGATGAGGGAATGAATATCACCTTTCTTAGCCTATCATCTTTATTCTTATCATCTTGTGAACTGAAGGATTTTCCACACTTCTTGAGAAATGTAAAGACACTTGTCTACTTGGATATTTCTAACAATAAGATATGTGGTCAAATCCCTAACTGGTTTAGCGGCATGAGGTGGGACTCGTTGCAGTTCCTAAACCTTTCTCATAATTCATTAACAGGCCACCTACCACAATTTCATTTCCATAATCTAGGGTATCTTGATCTGAAATTTAACTCCCTTCAGGGTCCACTACCTTCATCCATTTGTAACATGAGGAAACTTATCTTATTAGATTTATCACGCAACAACTTCAGTAACTCGATTCCAAGTTGCTTGGGAAGCATGGCTAATATAATGGTGTTGGACTTAAGAAAGAACAATTTCACAGGGAGTCTTCCTCCATTATGTGCGCACAACACTTCATTGAGTACCATTGTCGTAAATGGTAATCGATTTGAAGGACCTGTTCCTGTGTCGTTACTCAATTGTAATGGTCTACAAGTCCTTGATGTAGGGAACAATGCTATAAATGACACGTTTCCAGCTTGGCTCGGAACTCTTCAAGAGCTGCAGTCCTTATATTAAAGTCGAACAAGTTCCATGGACCTATAAGTAAGTGTCAGACTAAGTTTTGCTTTCCTAAGTTGCGAATTTTTGATCTTTCTCGTAATGATTTCAGTGGCTCACTTCCTGCAAAAGTTTTGGAAACTTCAAGGCAATGATCAAATTAGATGGTGAAGACACAGGAAATATCATGTACATGGAATGATTGGAATCTATGTCGAATTCGCAATTTGTCACATCCTATGATGATTCAGTGAGTTGGGTAATCAATGAAACTAGGACAATTGAGTATGCTTGAAGCTTTAGATCTCTCTTGGAATCGGCTCACTGGAAAGATTCCACAGGAATTGACAAGAATGAACTTTCTGGCCTTCTTAAACCTCTCTCAAAATCATCTCGTCGGACCAATTCCTCAAGGTCGACAATTCAACACATTTGAAAATGACTCATATGGTGGCAACCTTGATTTATGTGGTCTTCCTTTAACAAAGAAATGTGGAACGAGTGATTCATCGCATGTTCCTCAACAATTGGAGTCCGAAGAAGAAGGCGAGTCATATTTTTTTAGTGGATTTACGTGGGAATCAGTAGTCATAGGCTACAGTTTTGGACTAGTTGTTGGAACTGTCATGTGGAGCCTCATGTTTAAATATCGTAATCCAAAATGGTTTGTGGAATTTTTTGATAGACTCATGCCTCACAAAAGAAGAAGGCCAAAGAAGAGAGCTCAGAGACGACGGATTTAATGGAAGATTGAGAGGGCCAACTTGTCTTTGTTTGATTTTGTGGACTAATAAGTGAACTTTTCTGGTTCTGTTTTTATCTTTTTAATTTTCTGTTTGTTGTTTGTATATGTTTGATAGCAACATAATTATTATATGTGTGGTATTTTAGTATCAATGGTTATTCAAGTTAAGTCTATTTCTGTTTCAAGTTGACAGAAGTGATCTACACAGCCACTCATTAGCTATGTTACTTAGACTCTTCAAAAATGTCAATGGGTACGTGTTGGATTCTTCAAAAGTAATGCAATTTTTAAGGAACCAACACGGGTGTCATTATATTTTAGGAGAGTCGAAGCAACATACACAACAAGAAAACTGTGAATAACATGGGGATTTTCCTGGGAATTAGTATGAAAATTTGCAGGAAAATAAGTTTTCTGCGAATTTTCATACTAATCCCCATGTAATTCACACTTTTTTTGTAGTGATAACTCATCTTTCTTAACATTTTCTGTTTCTGCATTTATTTCTTTTAAAGATCATTGCTTTGATCTTAATGGCTTTCAACCCATATTAGGAACACTTGAAATGGCCGAACTCATACACACAGAGGATAGCAACTATTGAGCTGTTGACTGAAGTGATCCACTTATTAGTACAAAAAAACAGGAAAAAGGCTACATCCACCTCTGGGGCTCATGTTGTTCTGTTTCTTCAAATGCAAAACACTCTCTATCAGGATTTTCTTTATTTTCAAGGTTCGAATCCGAAACCCTTGGTTCAATTTTAACTGGAACCATGCATTTAGCATAACTATATGTCCTATTGCATTATAGTTATTATACAAAGTGGAAAAGTTCAAGGGATAATAACACCATCTCAAAAGTCGGGTGTGTAACTGAAAATCTAAATCAACTTTAGGGGTATACTTAGGGCTGTTCAAAACCGAACCATAACCGATAAGCCAATC